AAGTCCCGCCGCGCTCCCGACAGCCGCTCTTTATTTATAGTATCTTGTAGCTTCAATTTCGCTCGAGTAAACGAGGTTCGAGAGGTCACGTTTCCCTGAATTACGCCACCTCCGCTTTTCGACACCTCGTCCTCGCTCACCGGGAACTCTCGAGCCTCCTCGTTTAACGACCGATGTGGCATAAAAGCCACAGCCATACGAATCCTTTCCGATAACGAACGACGCTGGCAAATAAAAAGTGATAGATACAATGTGCGTGCATTCGTGCGTGCCTGCGTGCGCGTTTGTGTTTGAAGTAGGTGTAGAAGGAGTCGAAGTACGAGGAGGAGATGAAGGAGGAGGAGGAGATGGAGGAGGAGGAGAAGGAGGTCGATGAGATGGAGGTGGAGGTCGACAAAAGGGGAGGAGAAGGCGGTGTAGGTGGACAAGGGGGAGGAGAAGGCGGTGCAGGTGGACAAGGGGATGGAGAAGGAGGTGGTGGTGGACAAGGGGGAGGAGAAGGTGGTAGTGGTAAAAAAAATTTCGCCGAGTATACCCTGGGACAAAAGAAGCGATAAAAGCCCTCGGAGTTTCACGAGGAAGCAATGAAAGGAGGTAACATAAAAGCCGGAAGGCCGCGATTGTGGTGATGGGCGCATGTGCGCGAGAACAGAAGGTCTCTTCTTGTCTCGACCGGAGAGGCGAAACTTGCGGCTCGCCTACTTCGTTATACGGTCCCGGGGACCGTAAAACGCACCGCGGTATATTCGCGCGCGTGACTATTACAGATTTCTGAAAGTACCCGCCATTACAAGGCCTCGAAAGAGCCGCCCCCCCCCCCCCGTGTGTCTTCTGTGGAGCTGGAGACTTCCAAGTGAGGCGCTTTGCGCTTTGATCGAACTCTGTGCGATGATGATTACGACAACGATGACAGCGACGACGACGACTATGACGACGACGACGTCGACAAGGACGACGACGACAACTACAACTATGATGGCTACGACTACTTCGACGACAACAAGGAATTAACGCGCACGTAATTATTCCCGGCCGATGACCGGCGTTCCAGGCCTCCGCGATGGAAGGGGCCGTCGTGGAGACGAGGAGTCGAGGCTCGTTCTCGCCAAGGAAATCTCGACGCAAGCATACCACTTGTAAGTACGGGCACGTATTATTCTCATAATGCACGGGCGCGCAGTTGTAAAAGTAACATTTACGAGTCTCGCATTAACGAGTTTTGGCTCTGCAATTTTCGCGGAGTTACGCGCGTACGCGAGATTAAGAACACTGCTCGCGGTTTCTCGACACAGAAAACATCAAACGAGTTATTTCTGTGAATTTCCGAACGTAAAAGAAAAAAAGGAAATTATGTAAAATGTATTTTTGTAGTGTGCAATTATGCTTATCTGGCGATTACGACCGAATTTTATTTGTTTCCGACGCCCTCCGTTGCGGCGATTCGTTTTTTACGTTGCCCGCTCTTGCGTGTCTTTCCTTCGTATGGATGTCGTGCTTATCGAGGGGAGATACGTTGCCGCAAATTTCTCAAGAAGCATTAGGAGAGAAGGAGGCTTTTATCTTATGGCTCGGGTCAAACTTAATAAATCATCGAGCGGATCGTCATTGTGGTTTGTTGCGAATGTGCGAACACCCCAGAAAAAAAATCAATTAATTTTTTATAACTAATAATTGAGCCATTCTTGGATTTGGTGAACCAATACATTTTATATGAATAACTTTGGCTGATGACATCACAGCCTTCATTAAATTAAATTTTCTACTTTTTCCGATATATAATCTATGTAATGTCTATTAATATTTATAAAATTATAGATCACTGCTTTGAAAAAGAAAATGGCCTATTTCATAGAATTAGGTAATGATTATGTGCATTGCAATTTCAAAACGTATACTCAATATTATTAAGATTTATTCACTTATACGTCAATTTGTGGCCGTTTATTTCTCTAAACCATTCTACATGCGATTGTGGTAAAGCTTGGAAAAATACTAACGCCAATGTCCTTTTGAAAGAAATAACAATAAATCTTATGAGGCGAAAAAAAATTGCCGTAAAAAATTCGCACGTGATATATTAAGAAAACTTTATCGCGATATATATTTTTTAAATACAAATAAATATAACAAATATCAGAGTGACTCATAAAATTGAAATTTTAAATGAAACAATTTTATCGCTATATTTCACCTAGTATAAAGAAATATGCGTTTTAGCTAATCACAATTCTCGTGATTTAAGAGTTAAGAAATCGTCTAAAATATAAAGAATGTTCTTATCAGTGTAGAATTTCACTTTAAAGTAAGAAATAATATCCATAGTATTACAAATGGCAGCGAATGATAAAAAAATGTTTACAGTAAAAAAAATGAATAATCACATTTTCTTTAATAGCTTGTACAAAGGTAATTTTATTGAAAAACACAACAATAGCGATTTTAAATTTAAAATCAAAAGGTATTTCCGTAAAGTAACGTTTTATCTTGACGTTTACTAGCACGGCATAAAAATATTAATAACATTATTTTGAGCTAAAGACTTTTTTTTTTTTTCTCTTGGACTCACTTGTGATACTGGGCCTGCAGAAAATTAAACTCCTCCTTAATCCTGTCGCAGGATTCGATCACTGTGAATTTGAACGGTTGGCTCGACTGAGGTGGCACCTGAAAATTAAATGATCTTCCATTAAAAAACGAAGTTTCAATGCAACACAAAACAAAAAATATAAACTAACATTCGAACAATATTCGCCAATATCCTGTAAAATCATTATTTTAATTTATCTGCCTATCTGACAAATGTTGAAGACGTATTAATTCGGACTTAATATTCTTATAAACTATAAATTATCGGTGGGGCGCTCAAACATGAATAATTTTAAGAAATACCCCTGCACTAATATCACGCAGTGTTTACAAAAAAAAAAAAAAAAGGAGGGGTGAGTGACAAGCGGAAGATGGAAAACAAATGAGCACTAGTCCTTGGGCCAAAAAAACTAAGCCACTCAAACGACGACGAAAAAATCCACGAAATTCTAAAAATAAATGGAACAAAGTAACGACCATTCGAATGCAAATGTTTGTTGAGCACAAAGTGAAAAATACCGCACAACGCCTCCAAAGAGCGATAAAATATTCCTTCCCTTCGTTTTCTCGCCCGATACACCCATCAATTTTTTTCTCCCACTCCCATCCCCATACATATATATATATATATATATATATATATATATATATATAACTTTAAATATCCTGATGAGTAAAGCATAATTTTTCATCCCGCCAAAATCTCCTTAAAGAGCCTTCGCCGTAAATAACATTTAATTACAAAGTGCGAGACAAGGCGCACGCCAGATTTCCTCATTGCCCTCCATCAACTTTTGCATCTTACCTTTCAATTGTGTTCAAAATATGAAAAAATGGTTTTACAAAAGTACGCCCATCTGTTTTTGTTTATATACGATATATTTGGGTTGCTAATTTGAAACTGAAAATTTTTGTACAATGAAATAATTGCTTGATTTTGGAGTTTGGAATTTGTGTATAAGTACGAGTACGAGCATTTACGTGCAAATTTAATAGGCAGTTGTGAAACGATGATTTCATCGTCGGCTAATATAGTACTTAGAATTTTAGATATTTCAATTGGCGGATGTTACTTTATTGTCTTTTAGAGAAGTTCATATTTTAATGATAATGCGGTAGATTATACTTATCGCAATAATAAAAAAAGAAATCGGTCAGAAAAGCCTACGTTATGTCAGTTAATCCTTATTAATTTAAATTAATATAACGAGGAAAATGCATCTGTAGAAATTTCACCTTAATTTAATTTTATTCATTTCAATCATCCCGATAAATAAGACAATTGAGTCGCGTACGATTTACATGAAAATAAGGCCATTTGCAAGTTTTCTACGCCTTAGTAATCAATGCAGTTTCTGTGCCAATGAAACGCAGTATATAACACTTGTTTATAAGATTCTTGCAGCGTAAGCACTTACAATGTGTAGTTACTTATTTACAGTTTCCATTTATTTTCATAACTAAAATTGTATCGTGTGTGCGTAAAATATCTATCGTAAAAAAAAAAACTAAATCTGTAAAATTTTATTATTTAATATGAATTAAAGAATTCTAGTTTGATGAGAAGTTGGCTATTTTCAAAATTGCTTCCTTTCATAAAATACTAATGCTTACTAATGCGCAGTATTTCCTTCGATATATCACCGTTTGCAGGATTGTTCGATGTACATATCATTTTGAATGCGTCACAATTAATAATTACATATGAGGAAATACTTAGCGTTGTAATACTATAGTGCTCGAAGCATTGTCTGCTTATTTATTAATTTACAAATAGCCATAACGAACGTAAGCCTTATAAGTTCCATCTTGTATGCGAACGATTAATAACTTGTCCACGAAAGCAAAAACCCCGCACAATTATAGTTATAATACGTTTGTAATATATTCACCGAATATTTTCTAAACTATTTCTCGACTGAGGATTAAAAATTAAAATAAAACTCCTATGGCGCATACCATCTATCAATTACGCAAATTTCGAGATTACAAATTCCGAGCCTGCTATTTACATTAGTAAACAGGCTGAAAGGAGCGGAAATCTCGCTCATCCGTAAGACTCTGCCAATCCATCATTTCAATAATGCCATTAGAGCGCGAGCCATTACTTTTTAAACGCAATTATCATCGCGCATTAAACACACAACTCTCTCGCCGTTAGACGCCAGATAGAAATGCCGCATTTAATTGCAGTGCAGGCAGGCTCTAATGTCCGCGAGCGTAGAAGGTGAAAGAAAAGCCGAGAGAACGATGGAAAAAAACCCACCGGTGAAATCGCATACGTACGCGCGTGCTATAGATCGCAGCCACTTAGGGAGGTAAATAACCGCGGGGCATATTTTATTAACAGCAGCGCCGCGTCTAATTTTCGATAATTAGAAATGTTCGCGCGCGCATTTGGACGCAGACATGCGCGATTTCTCGATAAAGTATTTTTGTGGCGGTCGAGCGAAACGATCGGGAATGACGAAACGCGCGCGCGCGTCAATTAAATCGTACCCAACCTAAATAAGAAATAACGGGTGGCCGAATAATAATCGACCCAAAGTTCGATCGATGTAAGACTGTGTAAACGAGATTGACGATTACGACCAAGGATAAGTATCGTTCATTTATAATAGATCGTTTTTGTTGGTGATTGCAGTCTGCCGAGCTTTAAAAGCCTCGATTTAAATGTCAATTTTTCAGATAAAAATTAATGAAGGGAACCTGAAATCTAACGCAAACCATAAATCATGATAATAAAACTTCATTTGAATAATGCATAAATACACTGAATCGCAACGGGCTCCCAAGGTTTCAAACAACTTTTCTTTATAAGCCAAGGCACAGCTCAACTGATAAAGTTTGATGGTAGTTTTGGTAAACTTTGATGCACTCGCGACAACTGATTTATTAATAATCGTGATTCGATCGATCGTTCGACGTTGTAAAAATTTCTAAAGAAATTCCTCGGCGAAGTATTGAAAAGTTGCTTATCTCCCGCGAGTTCGTCTATCAACAAAAACGGAAGAAATATTTTTGCAAATATTAAATAGTATTCTCGATCCCCTTTCTCCTATCGATGATTGATACTTCAACCGATATTTCAATTACGAAAAATTAACATTAATTGCCGATGAGCAGCTTTGGTGTAAACAACGAGGCAAAAAACGTTGATACTGCATCACCTTCTTCCCTCCGTCGTGAAAATGGATTCTACGG